ATCAAAGGAAAGAGGAAAAAGGGCATTCTTTGGGAGGTCTGCAGAGAAGAGTTGAAGCTCCCAAATTGCAAGGACAAGGAAGAAGGTCAGCAAGATACAACGGTGCATTTGATTTTAAAAGAAGGGCAATATCGTCAAATCATACAACCCACATTGAGCCCATCACCCAACACCTGTCATCAATCAAACCATCACCTAACGTCATAAGCTCACTCAGCTGGCAAGCTGCTGACCAGAGAAATGGTACCCACACTACAGAGAAACGATCTCTTCTCAAAACCGAAGGTCCTCACCTTCTTCTCTCGGACAAAGAAAGAATTCCACTTCTCCTCCTCCTGGCGAAAGCACGCGAGCCTCGCGTGAATGACGACCAAACTCCAGGCAATAAGATGCAGCCACGTCAGCACAATAACCACCATCTTTAGAAAACCCATTCGTGCTTTTACTATATAGGTAGATAATAATACTTAACCCCCAATTGTTAATTAACCTGAATCAGACTACTACCACAAAAGTTTGTAATTTTTTGAGTAAATTATCAGACAGAGTGTTCTTGTAGGATCCTTTGCAACCCATTGTTATGACAGAAGGGGAATTCACTTGTTCTTATGTCATTTCCAAACAACCAGATCATATCAACAAACCCTAAACCTAATAAACACTCTGGTTAAATACTTCATTATACTCATAACACATACAACATGATTAATCAAACATTAACCAAATCTATAAGGGTGGGATTGTAAGATTTCTTGCGGTATAGTGTGTATATATCAATGAACTCATCCCTTTGCCTTTTGACCCACTTTGCTACCATTGATCACCTATGCTTCACTACGAATCTTCGTTTTCAGCCAATGCTTTGATTTTCCTCACTGATTACTTTAATTTTGCTAGATTAATGCAGCAACTTTTCTCATCGATTATTTGCTTTATCGAAAATTTTACCAACATTCTAAATCATACTCACCCCACTCTTGTCCTTTCCATGCCACAAAAAACTGTGCAGATGAAATTATACGTCGAAAAGTTGCTTTCTGTTTCTGCTACTGGCATAAATAAATGGAGTGGCCTAAATGGTACAGATTTTCTAGTTCAGTGACATTTTTTGCTAATAAAAAAGTTTGATGATCAAAAGCGGTACATTGTAATAGTTTAGCAACATTTCGTGCAATTTACTCTTTTATATATAGGATAATGAAGATGCCCCACAAATAAATTGTATTGTTCATATGTCATGAACTCCGTATCTTTTGACCAAAAAAATAGACAAAACAACCCAATTGATCCTCTTAGGTGTTTAATAATTAAACTAATTCTTAAACACCTAATATAATGTATTGTTCATATGTCATGAACTCCGTATCTTTTGACCAAAACAATAGACAAAACAACCCAATTGATCCTCTTAGGTGTTTAATATTTAAACTAATACAAAAAATAGTACAATAGATTCAAATGATATTCTAAAAAAGTTATTGACCAATGATACATATTGCTCGATTGTTTACATACTTTATTAGAAGTCCACTAACTCAACCCATTTCACAACTTTATGATGGTGTTACTGATGGCCTTGGTTAAAATCCATCAATGAATCATTAACCCATGAACTGAAAGGGCTATTATCCAGAACAATAAGCAAATTTGCTTGATTTTGGAATTAAAAAACAATTATAACATTTGCCATCTATGGGACAGTACCTCTACTTGAAAGCTTCTCTATAAATCTTCATTTATGAAATGTTAAAATGTCTCAAATCCACAAAAAAAAAAAAAAACCAAAAGACAGTTGTCAAACTAAGGGTACATTTGATAACACTAGAGTTTGAAACTAAATTTTGAAATCTGAAGTTTGAATCTATTAAGTTATTGAATTGTTAAGCACAAAATCTGATATATTTAAGTGTATATCACATTAAGTGATAAGTGAATAGGTCATCACATATTTTTGAGAGCAAGTTTTTCTTAAAAAATTCCGTGCCACTTAATAAATTTAGATGTTCAATTTTTTGTTATCAAATGCATCTGAACATGATGTGAATCTATTAACTTTAAGTACTAAATTGACTTATTAAACAGGTTCTAAGGATATATTGTAGGAGATCTAGCATGAGCAATGAATCATAGGGCCTTCAAAGAGGAGTATGACATAATCAAATGCTTTTTAATTAATTGATCAAACATGCTTATGTTCACAACAATATATGTTTGTGGATAATTTAAATAAGTTAACCCTTCCCTAACAAATAGAAAACATGTCTAAATAGACAAAGTAGACAAGAAAACTTGAATTATTTTTCGTTAAAGCTCCTGAAGACAAATCTTAGTGTTGACATGTAGTACCAGCTACTAATTACTAGCATCATTAACTTGTACAAGAATATCTTATTTCATCCTAAAACCTAATATAATCAATTGTCCGATTCCAAATATGTGATGAATCAATGTTAATAAGAAATTAACAAATTTACAAAATACAATTAAAGAATGAAGGTAAAGTAAATCAAAAGCATACTAAAAATATGCCAATAATAGAGGAGAGTAGAAATGCTAAAAAGAGCCATTCGAGCAAAGAAATAAAAGAAAGGGAAAGAATAATAGACAGACAATTAGTCCATACATACAATATTTTCCTTAATTGCACCATACAATGCATAGATATAGTACAAACCATAAATGTATACCCACATAGACATCACTTTCTTCCCCTCTCTCTTTCTCTCCATATGATATATAGTTAGATATTCATGTAAAAATGCATATACACAGATACAACCTAAGTACATACCATATTCATATTAGAAAGTTTACATGTTAGGGAAATAATGCTCTTCCAATTAATCTTGTTTATATTTTGAATAGACAAAGACGTTAAATAAATATGGTGTACACTAAAGTAAGTGATGGTGAAATGATTGCTAAGTTGCAATTTTATTACAATGTACCAAATAATTCTACCAAAATTTACATGACATTATTAGAATTCTTGAAATTTTCTTGAATGTGAACAAGAAGATATTGCTTTCATAGGCAACAATAAACACCACACAGGCAATTATCCTTGCTGAGGCACTCCCCAAATAAGGTGGTGTTATAATTTTGAGCACAAAGGATCATGCATGGCCCGGCATCACACCCTTCCATTTTCTTTTCAATGTAGCATAGCATCCATGTTTTTTCATCTTTTCCATCCGCGGGCATAACAAAATTAGATCCATTACTACTTCTTTTATGACTCTTATCATATGAACCAAAATATTGTGGACAAATTACTGAAGATCTCTAGTGGCTTAAAGTAAGTTACCTCTCACAATCTTGAGGGATTTTTTTTAAAAAAAAAATTTTTAAGTTAAAATCTTGTGGGTTCACAAGTTACCTTTTGAGATGTTTGGCTTGAACAAAATTGAATAGTATTTTTTTTTGGGTAAACAACATACATAGGGAATGGATACTAGTTCTAACATTTTTTTAAAAAAATAAGAATATTTGAAGGAAGGAGGCATGGATAATAAAATTTAATTTTAAAATTAGTCTTGTTGGTTCAATAGTTACCTTGTTGCAATTGTTGTAATTTAAATTATATAGTAAATTGAATACTAATTTTTTTTTATAAACACCATGCACGAGGGAGGGACATTAGTCCTAAAATTTTATTGAAAAAATAGAAATAGTGGAAAAAGGGGGGCATAGATAGTAAAATTTAAAGTAGATTGACTTTTGTTATATTAAATGATACAATAAGCAATACTAGTAACTAGATGGATCATTAGGAGTTAATTATAGATGGAAATGTCATTAACTTTTCAATAATATAAACACAAAAATGTTAAAGGTTTTTAAACTCTAATATCGCTCAAACAGTTAGTATGTATTACCACTTTTGTTTTTCATTCACAATCAGTACTCTCATATAAGGTAAATGTGCTAAATTTAGTGCTTGATATTAAAATGTGAAACTTTTAGTATCTTTATAGTCCAAAAGACAAGGGAAAAAAACTTAGTTTAAACCATAAGCATTACATATAAACCACATGAAGATAATTCATACTTTACAATAACATATATAAAAAAATCATTATGCATAAATCACATGGGGATAACTCATAACTTACCATAACGTATAAAAGACCAAAAAGCATTACATGTAAACCACATAGGGTTAACTCAAAATTTATCCACAAAAATAATTTTAAAAAATTGGCAATAAGAACTGGATGATTGTATTCATCTATTTGAAAAAGAATAGCCACTGGTTTGGCTACTCATTGTTGATTGTCTGCATAGGAGTTCGTTTCATGACAATTTCCATCAAATGAAATTTCAAAGTTCTAAGAAGATTTTAAGGCTTATAAAAGCTGAACTGAAATTTTGTAATCATTAGTCTGTTTTACTGAATTTTGAAATTATTAGTGTAGTTTTGCTGCTTATTTGTATTGTTTAATTTATTAAATGTTAACTTTTTAAGTGGTTAAACGTGTGTTTTAATTATTTCTAACTTTTAATTATTTTTATTCTCTTACTAATATGACTTATATACATGCATAAGGGGTATTTATGGAACAAAAATTTCATCTCTCTTCTTAAAGTACTTTTTTAATGTTACTTTTTTTAATTGGACTAACTTTGTTATCAAGATTCAAAACCTTAACCTTGGGGGATATTTGTATAATTTTACAAATTTCAGTGGATGCCAGTGAAATTGTTGGGAACCTCAGGGGAGCTTTCTGAAATTATCCCCAGTAATATATTGACGTCTTCCTCCTGGTTTTGTCGGCCTCCTTTGTTTCTGTCTTCTCCTCCCCTTCTCTCTCCCTCGCGAGATTTTGCTTTTGTTATTACCCCTAGCTTGACCTAACTCCTCCATCGCTCTCCTCCAGCTTGGCTAGAACAGGAACCATTGTTAATTATACGTGGTAATCAGTTTTTTTTTAGTTCCTTTTCAATTATGAATCGGAGGTTATGATTACCACCATGGTTCTCCATTTTTTTTCTTTTAATTAAGTTGCAGGTGCGCATCCATGGCTCCTGGGAGTAATATGTACTAAATTGGGTTGATCAGTTTGTTGAAGCATTGAAATTTGGGTCATATAATTGAATGCATTTCATTTCCTTTTCTGAAAACTCATAAATTTCAATCGCTGGTTATTTGTTCTCCTGTGATTGCTTTAGTTTAATAATATATTCCCACACATTTTCCTCTTTTGCCTTCCAGGTGTCTGTGTTTTTGCTCAAGCTGCTACATCACCTTGGTAATCCCATTTTCTACTTAAAATGCAATTTATGCTTAAAATTTCCTTACGGCTTCTTCATTGCTATTATAGTCTAGGTTTAGACACTGGAGTTGCCAATTGTCCACTGGTGCTTGATACTCTGCTAATGTTAAATATTGCGACATTGTGTTAGATGTTGAATTTCTCTTAACTATAGTCAGATTTTGACCTCCCAAAAACTATGTTTAATGATGTGAATTTGAATTGTGTAGTGACTATATTGATGTAACATGAGGTAGACAGACTAAATTAAAATGAAGTTATCAATATGGGAGTTTTTTTTTCAATGACCTTGTTTTTTCCCTCATCCTTTGTTATATAATTGGATTTTGGATTTCTTCTCCATGATTACGAAAGATAAGTTTGTTTATTTTTGTTGGGAATCTTCCAATTCATTTCCCACTCATAAAGTGAATGGCCTTAGAAAACCAAGTCCTTGTGATGTTCATATGCTAGAAGAGTTCAATGGTCCGGTGGTTGAATTTCATTGGTTCAAAGGTTTTTCTTGTGAAGTATGAAAGTTGATTTCCTTCTCTTTATTAATACTTACATGAATTTCCACTGCGCTATTAACATTTAGTAGCCCTTTCAGACACATATAACTTTGAAAATTGGTTATGGGCACCTTAACTAAATTAATGAGTGCCTGAGCAGATCTATTGAGGGATCAATCTGTGTGTGCCTAAGCTTTAATTTTTGTTGTGATTACCTGGTTTGTTTGATGTATAGGCTCCTTGGGAAGATTGATTATTCCAACATGTGGTAACGATATGATTCTATCTGCATATTTGTATATTTGATGGCAAGAATTAGTCTTTCTTGGTTTTTTTATTCAGAAGAAGAACAATGACAAAATCGAAGTTAGAAAAGAGATGGTAACAACAGCCTATGACAAATAAATGTAAATGGCTGATACATAAAACCTTTAAGCTTATGCACTGATTTTGGTTGCAGAACTATTATGTATCTGGTTCGGTAGGTTGAGTTGCTTATCTTCCTCTTTTTTGCACAACGAAAACTGAACAACTCAATTTTAAACTATACTACAAATGGTTGGAACTCTATTTTTTGAAGCTTCTCAGGATAGGAAAAAATAAATTTATGCCTATAGACAAGCTAAGCACTCTGTATCTTGTTTGATAGCAGCTTTAGTAACTTTGAAGAGCAAACGTAATGCACAAACGGAGTAAATAGCCTGACTAAAATAATAGTCATCCGTAGGCATGAATAAGTGAATCAATAATTCCAAATTTTGCAAATGTATTGCACCCATGTATTCTGTACTTGAATTTTTTTTTTCTTAGAGGTGTGCTTTAGAGCCTAGAGAGTATGTTTTTTCCTAGATTTATACATTTTTCTCTTTGCTTTCTATGGACTAAGCTGATCAATATGAGATTACGCATAATTAAAAAGAAAAGCATGTTTGTTGTCAATATATTTGTTTTTACGTCTGACATTGAGGTATGGATATTTGATTTTTAGATGCATATATTTTGATTTGCAATGATGGATTGGATTAATGGCTTAGCATACTATGTTTGCTAGGGGTATATACATTGTGGCCAAATTGACAGTGAAAAATTCCTTTGTCCTGTACTCTTTATTTCGTTGAATTTAATTATCTTGTATTCTTATCCAATTGAAGATTTTCTTTTTCAAGAAGCGCAGTTTGACATTAGAAAATCTACTTATACTAACCAGGGCATGATAAGGATACTATCGGAAGTAATGGAAGGGAAGCCATTGCTAATTTTGTCGCAAACATATACAAAGGAGAGTTAAACTTGGATTGCAATGTTAACTTTTCACAGTTTTTTGTACTTATGTCTGATTTGGATTTTATAAATACTTAGACTAATAGCAATGAGCATTATTATAAAGTTCAGCTTTGTAAATTTCCAAGATTAATTGCTGTAAATTGTGTTTATCATTTGAGATGCAACATTATAACTGATTCTCCCTCCTTCCTCCCCATGATTTTCCCTTCGATCTCTTGCTTAAGGGATATATCATAGCATTTTGCTGATGCTATTAAGAGTTTTATGTGGTCATTATAAATAACTATAGAGATTACCTGCTTATTGTTTCTGTCTAACTCATACAAGTTTTTCATTTTGAAGCGCTAGAATTAGAAAATAATAGTATCTACATATTTTGCAATTTTTATAGACTATTTGGGTATCGCCATTCATTTGTGTGGCTGCCAAAAACTAGAGTTAGTCCAAAAATGAGAAGACCAAAATACAGTGCAGGTGGTTTTAGCTCCTAGAGTGTCTTGCATATTAGAAAAAAAATCTCAAAAAAAGAAAGGAAACCAACATGACTAATTGTCCAAGCTAGATGAGTAAGTGTGACAAGGGGGTGATTGGTTATTTTAATGGATTGATATTTTGCATGGCAACTGATTTTTAGTCTTGTATATATATATAATTCACATTAAATGCAAAGGCCAAAGGAACAAATGCTGAGAACAATTTTAAGAACAAATCTGTAGGGGCAAGTTTGTCCATAAACCTTGTACTTTTTAGTTTTCATGATCCATGAATATGGTTGCCAACCATCTTATATTAATGTGTTAATACCTTTATTTCATTGTGTTTGGTTCACAATGTCTAACATTGTTGTTGTTAAATTTCAGACAGTTCTTGTACAAGAAAGGAAGTTGATATGGCGTCATTTCGAGCTTTTTGGAACAGTCCTGTTGGCCCTAAAACCACACATTTCTGGGGTCCTGTAGCCAATTGGGGATTTGTTGTTGCGGTAGGACTCAATTATGAAATGTAATTTGAAATTGGTCTACTTAAAGTAACAATTGAGCTTAAATTGCCTTTGATGCTCTGGCAGGGACTTGTAGACACACAGAAACCCCCAGAAATGATTTCTGGCAATATGACTGCAGGTTTTAAGCATCTTAGCTGTTCTGTAACAGATAATTTGTCACTTTTGGATTCTAAGTGTTAGGGATTTTATTTTGTGCAGCTATGTGTGTATACTCTGGACTGTTTATGAGGTTTGCATGGATGGTACAACCTCGCAACTATCTCCTTTTGGGATGCCATGCCTCAAACGAGACAGTGCAACTGTATCAACTATCGCGTTGGGCAAAAGGCCAGGGGTATGTCTTCAGAATATGCAGTTTTCAATTGTCTTTAGTTTTTTTTCTTTACTTTTCGAGGACGGTTAAAAGTTTTGTCAAAGAAACCTCATATGAAGGTAGTTTAACCTGGATTAGAAGTGATAACCTACTGTGAAGACATCCACGTGTCTTGTCAAAATATGATTAATGATCTATCATCTGTTTTATTGAAAACGATTCATGAATCCGAAGGTAAACAACATTCTATAAAAGCATTTCTCAGTATTTCTATTGTCCTTTGATCCCTGTTGAAAACTATGTCCTATGATTCCTGTTGAAAACTGTCTCTCTCTCTCTCCTTCTTTCTGCTATAATACCTCTTGCACTGCTAAAAGACTTTCTACTCTATTGAGTTGGGAAATATGTTCCTCTTTTCCCATGAAATCCATCCAATTGTTTTTCTTATCTTTCTTTTTGCATAATTAAATCCCTGGCCTCCCTCTCTCAAGTCACAATGAACATCCAAGTGTCTTGTAGTGGATGGGATGTAGTAGCTGATAAGAACAATGTTTGTTATGACTGATATTTAGCTCAGCATGTAAGCGAATGGTCAGTCTCTTGTCAGCTCCTTGTAGCTTATTGTTGGGATGTATAATGACTTTTCTAATCTTGAATCCTGGACCACTTAGTTTCATTTTGAAGCAACCAACTGTATTGTATTGACTGCCTGCCTATTTCCGTTTGTGGACTGGATTTGTTCTCTGTTATACACAGTGGATTTAGTGTTTGGCTTGTTGTCCTTGTAGGTACTTGGAGTCAAAAGAAGAGAAGGCTGCATCCAAGTGATCTGGTTGCTTCGGTTGCTTTCTGCATTATTGACTCCTGGTTGGTTCCTGCAGCTGTCTGAAATTATCTGTGCATCGTTAAACATCTGACAAGCAAAATAGTGCTGGATAATCTGCCTTTCTATATTTGCCAATTATATAATAATTGATTTTGACTTTGAGTAAAAATTCAAGATTCTGAAATTCTGGCCAATACTTTTGTATTGTTCCTTCAAGAAAAGTATACTCTTTATGCTGACCATGCAGAAGCCACAATGCAGACTCTCAACATTCACAACTTGAATTCATGATTTTTGTCTCTTTAGATACGTTCAACCTAATGGCTTTTATGGTTATTCCTTGTATGAGTCGTATCCTCCCAACACTGTAAATATGAAAGTTTCCAGAGTTAGGTAATATTAGAAGATTAATAATTAAAAGAGTTAGGTAATATTAGAAGATTAATAATTATAAAAAGAAGATGTAAAAGCCGTGGCATGTAATGCAAAAGAGAAGAATCAGGTGTTAAACTAATTTTTCTGAAATTGTTATTCAGTACCCTAACTTTTGAGATATTACTGTCAACCCAAAAGCTTTCAGAACAAAAAATGCAATGTCAAAATTCTTTAGAAGTTATATATGAGAACTGATATAGACAGTGATATGTTATTACCAATGTTACTATCCTTTGACTTGTATAATCATTTAAAAGACAAACAGAATCCTATTTTTAATTGCATTTGCAACCTTACTATTTTCTTGCAGGTTGAAAGGAGTAAAAGATGTATACAATCTTATCTTTTCACATAATCAGAAAAATCATTGTGAGGGCCTTTCAAAAAAATGTATGGCGGCCAATGACGTGTATGTTAAGAATATTTGTTGAAGAAGCTAAGAAAATGCCATATGGAGAAAATTAATGTAGACAGTCCATGCACTTCGTAATTTTACATTTTGCCAAAATTTGTGGCTTCGTCTTACCTAAAAAGAGAACTCATTTCACTGATATCTAGTCTTTCTTCAATTTTTTTTGCCAAGCTGTTAGAATTTTCATATTTCGAATTTGAACCATAATTTTTTTTTTTTTTTTTGCATTGTATTCCCTTGGGGAATATTATAAAGACTATTTTAGAACATTTAAAGTCATTTTAGAAAAGTTTTGGGGAATGAATGTCGTGAAATAGATTGAATCAAGTGTTATTTCAATTTAAATGTTTTTTTTTCAAGGCATCAACTTCAATCTGTGATACATGAAAAGGGTTATAGAAGAGATTTCCCATCCTCAACAGCTAACTCTTCATCATCAAAATGATAGGATGTATTCAAACCATATTATGCATAATCTAAACGAAATTCGACAAAAAATTCGTTCAAACTCAATTCGACAAATAATCAAATCAAATTTGAATAAATTTCAAGTTCATTAAAATCATCAAATAAATTTAAACACCAGAGTGTTCAACTTAGTTAAGTTCATTTACACCTCTAGTTGCTATAATGCTAAAAACAAAAGGAAATAAAACGTCGTTAAATTCTCAGAAAAACCCTAAAGAGAAAAGGAAAAATTGAACAAAAGTAAGTATTTTGTTGAATAGAAAATCAAATAATCATATTCATTAAATACCTCCATAGGCTACATTACATAAATTAGAATAATGTTCCGGATGTACACATGCTATAATTTGTAAATTATGAACCATAAGCACACTCAAACTTAGAACAAACAATTGCTTCCGCGCTTACATTCCCTCACAGGTAATTTAATTCTCTCATTTTTAACATAATTGCCACAATGGAGAAACCTATATTTCTTACAAAAGAAAATCAATACGCCACCTAAAATTCGTATAAAGAATGAAATCAATATATATAATACCCTGCAACAATTTTGCATGTTGTAACAAGTAAATTTACAAGAGATTGTATGAACTCTAGCATCCAGCTGCTTTCAAAAATTTGTCATATGGGCTTGAAGGTGGAAGTCTAAAGGACTGTTCTTGTACACACTCCTGTGCACATGGAAGCTGAATCCGACTTTGAATTAGTTGACTGTTTGTGGATTTTATGTCTCCTGATAGATCCAATACCTACATGAAGTGATCAGAAGCCTCAACAATCAGCAACAGAAATCTTGACTCACAAACTAGAGCCGTTGAGATATTGGTCAATATCCTGTATGTGAGATTTAATAAACCTTCAAATTGGCAACCGTTCAGCTGGATAATTTATGAGTAATCAGTTGCCTTCATAGGAACAGGAGGAATGTAGTAGGCTAAGTCTTGGGTTTAGGTTATCTAAGAAATGTACAAATCCTCACCCCACCCACCCTGATGAAAGGCAAAAAACCCATGACAGTAAATGCATAATTGATGCACAGAGGCAAAACATGTGCACAGAGAGAGAGAGGAAGGGAGTTTCACCTTGTTTGATAAAACAGGCCCCTTATTTTCATTTTCACATGCACTAAGTATAGCCTTTGCTTCTTGTTGCACCTTGAAACTCTGAAGGGCCAGCATCTTTTGTTGTTTACCATTTACAAGGGCCTCGCATTGACTCTTTACTTGATCATAAGGTATTGGAGTAGAAGAAACTGGCAGGCTTGCAACATGGCGAGCTGTTTCCAAGACCTGCTCATGGTACAAAATAATCATTGTGCAGTAGTATGCAAGCTTGTGTCATAGCATGGTAGTACATAAACAATGAATTGGTTTATGAAGGCAAATTAATCTTCATTTTTCCTCCTAAGAACTGATTCAACTGTTGATAGAGACTTCATTGATGGTGCAATAGGCCACAAATGATCTATTGGAATGACAGTAGCATGACTAGAAACATATATCTGAAGGTAGTTCAAGAAAGCTGAATTGCAAATGTTGCAGAACTCTTTAATAGTTCAAGAGTTTGTGGAAAACATCAGTTTGGGCACCAAAGAGAGTGGAAAGCTGTAGATTAGATGAACCAATATCTCCCGTAGTGAACTTCTTCCATTAGGAAATAATTTGATCCTTCGTTTGACCGCTATTGTGGTAATCTGCTAGGAACTATTTGCTTTAGATCTTATCAAATCATGTTTGGACCGCAAAAATGTTATAATTTAGATAGTATGTTCCAAGTATTAAGTGAACTTGAATTTTTTATCATACCATCAAGCATTATGAATAACAGACAAAAGAAAGGATCAATTACCAACAAGAAGGAAAAATTCAGTTCTTTCCTATGGATCTCTCTGTAATGCTTCCTCAGGTTCCTAACTGATTTTACCCAGAAGTGGGCATTATCATTCAGAAATTAACAAACGTAAGCAAAGAAAAACTTAGTAACACCAAGAGCCCAGATTGATGTAAACATTTCTCAGGAAAAAAGACATTATCTTCAACTTTAAATTTAGACTCAGAACCACTTGGTACCATTGTGCTTCTGAGCAAAGTAGAGAATACCAGTTTCAATGATACTACTGTAAAAGTAATTGATGCCAACGAACTCTTCTTGAGAATTTGGATGTTATGATTTTCATTTGTGTGATGCCAAAGTTGGTCCACAAGAAAAAGTTCCTATGCTCATGCATATTCTAATACTGATGATTCTGCCTTGCTAATAACAGTCTTGGTTTAGTAGAAGCATCCGTTGTAGGGAAACAGAGTGAGGGGTGTCGGAAGAACCATGATGTGTAACTTGCTCAAGATCTAAACAAGGTGTAGTAGATATAATATGTTTCCACATTCTTTCTTGAACCATTTTAGTTTTCAATCTGCTTTTTAACTTTCTGAATTTACCCAACTAGGTTATGAATTTGAAGAACATCGACCGTTATCTTATTTAATGGAAATATTACAAAAGTTTGCCATCAACTACAGAAATACTAACAATACCTTCAAACGACAAAGTTATGTGTGAAACTAAGAGGAAGTGATTATGAAGTAAAAAGCAATTACTTACAGATTCCAAGAGCTGGTTGACGCTAAGTATGTCAAGCGAATTGACAGACAGAGATGTCTTACGCCCAGATTGACTTCCACTTGCATCAGGAAAAGATTCTTCATCGGCTAACCCAGCTGGTGCCATGATCTGAGAGCAAAAAAGTTCACTTAAACTGAGTAAAACACCAGGCTAACCAATGCCTAATTATTTTTTAACTAACCTCATTAAATGTCTGAAAATCCATTTCTGCAAGTGGAGAAGAAGGGCATGGTGTCTCCATGAACAATGGAGCTCCCAACGGGTACGCATCATCTGGTGAAAATCCTTCTTGAAGTTGGCTTTTTATGTTTGACAACTCAGCCTAGAAGTAGACAGATGAGAAGTTTGAAGCAGAACGATCAAAATTATTTTCCTTAATACCCAAAAAAAGAAAAAAAAAAAAAGGACCAGTAATATAAAGACTTTCAACCTAAACTTGTACTTTTATGCCTAAAGGTTCTCAAAGTAGTATATTTGCTAGTTTGCAGAAGTAGAAAGGTCAAGAAATAATTCCACAGGAATACAAACTTATCTAAAAGCTTAAGCAATTACTGTATTCATCACAATTTGTTTTCCTTTGACCTGGCATAACCCTTTTACTTGAAAGTATAATATAACTTGAGATAATTATGTGGAACAGAAAAGTATAGCAGCATGATTTAACCTTCAATACTCCATCATTTTAAAAGGTGCATTGATTGGAAAGTTGCAGGTAAATCAAGTTTTAATTGACTTCAGCATGAAGAAGCAAGGGGTCACCCAATGAATAAATAAGACGAAAACTTTGATGTTATCTTAAGAAACTTTGCCAAAAGGGCAAAAAAGGCGTGAATTTGAGAGCAATATGTTTTAGAATTAAGTTTAGATACACTTCAAATTTACCTAGATTCTCTTTGATGGTCAGACACATGAGAGGGTGACAACTTGAACCAATGATATTTTTCTACTTTAGTTTGTAATGATTATACAACTCATGAATCACACAACAAATTAGTAGTACCACAGACTGGCCAACATAGAGTGAAATTTCTTAAAGAAGCCCACTCATGTGCTTAATGAAAAAATGTCCGGAAATAACTAATTGCGTTTTGAGAGCAGGAATGTGATGAGTAGTAGTAATTTAGATTACTCATTTGAGTTCAAGTCATTATTATGTTAATATCGAGACAAATTTAGCTTAGGGCTGAGCTATCTAGCCTAGTAAGGTTCAGCCCATGGTGAACAATGAGAATATATATCCAAAGATTTCTATAGCGAGGTAAAGTTTCCTGTTATCCATGTCTACCCAACTAAAAA